TTTTACAGCAAAAGTTGACAGAAACTGGTGTCTACAAGTGAAATGCTTACCTTTAACAAAACCCCAAATTCTAGGCTTTGGCTTTGGGATCAGGGATGGGTGGAGATTGGAAAAATGGCAAGCAAACAGTGAAGTCTGGAAAAATGGTGAGGAAATTGTTACTGGAGGCTTGAAAAATGGCAATCTGTGTTTTATAATGGCAAAAACAATTGGCCCGAGTGTTGCCTATGGTAACTTGGAAGAAGGAGGGGAAATACTCAGAAAGTTCCTATTTGGCTAAGGAGATCTCTAGGCAGAGTGTTGAAAGTTAGGTGTTGGGTGTTCCTAGCTGTGTAACCTCATAACAGGAAGAGAGGTACGAGCTAAAGAAAGAACTGGCAAAAAGAATTTCGAGAGAATAGAGGGGTGCAGAACTTAGTAGGTAAAAAAATAAAACTTTTTTTCATCTTGAGGCTCTCTAGCCAGCATAGGGTTATTACAGGAATATAGCCCAGAGATGTAGATCATACCAAAGGGTGTAGCCATAACACACTTTATAAAGCCCTTTGAAAGAATTAGTGATGTCTCATAGATTCCTAGACAAAAAGACTTCTTGGACTCCTAAGAGCAATATCCACAGAAGCCTAATCCAAAATAGCATGATAAAATTGAGGGAGAGGTCTCAAAAACAACTGTGAGTATGTCATTTGGAGTATGGAGTCAACCATAATCAGATACATAGAAAATCCACAAAATTCTTAGTTTTATTTATTTATTTACGAGAAGGAGAGAGAGAGAGAGAGAGGGTCGGGGGAGGGGCAGAGGGAGAGAGAGAATCTTAAGCAGGCTCCACACCCAGCATGGAGCTGGACACAGGGCTTGATCTCACGACCCTGAGATCATGACCTGAGCCGAAATCAAGGATTGGACACTAAACCAACTGAGCCACCCAGGCGTCCCCCCACAAAATTTTTAAATGAGTTGTACATGGGAAAATACCAACAGCCTGAACTGAAAGGGACTGAGAAATATTTCACACTGCTAGTCTGCTCCAGTGTGCGCCACTGCTTCAGTAGTAGCTAAGGAAGGAGATGAACAAGGAAGGATGGTCCAGAGGTCAGAGCCAAGAGGTGCAGAGATCCATGGACCAGGGAGCCACTCCCAGGGAGTAGAACCCAGGCCCAAGCAAGGAAGAGTCCTTCTTCCAGTCTAGAGGCCCGGACAGCATTTGTCTAGCTAGTCAGAATTGCTCTGTTTAAGGAAGACTACGGACCTTTCACGCTTCTCTTTCTTGAATGGGAATGTCTGTTGAGGTTATCCTGTCTCTGTCTCATTGTACACTCTCAGAACAATAGTTGGAACTTTGGGCATTTCACCCAGAAAGAGTGTATAAATCAGAAGTGCCAATGGCTGAGATCAGAAACCTACTATCCAGCCTTCCCAGGATGCTCCTTCTTGCTTTCTCCTTGCTGTCTCCTCTGCAAGGCCTCATTTCTCTGCCTGACAAACACCTGCCCTTCCTTCAAGGCTCCACTCTAGTCCCAGTGATTTTTCGGAGCCCTCCCCGGACCCTCCACAGTTGCGCCTGTCCTGTCCTGCACCATTCTGTACCTACCTCTAGTACAGCACTCCCACTGCACTGTATCTGTTCTTGTCTTCCTAAAGGTGCAGATTAGATCTTGTCGACTTTTTATTCACTGTCCCGCTCCTCATAGGTTAGTAAATATTTATACAGGAGGCGAAAGGGACGACCAGTCAGGAGACCTAAATATTAGTCCCAGATTTGCCACTGACCAGCTCTGTGACTCAGGGGATCCACTTCTCTTTGGACCTTAGTTTTCACTGAATAGAGGTAGGAAGGGCCCTTTCTGACTGAAGACTAAGTAAGATTTATTTTTTTTTAAAGATTTTATTTATTTATTTGAGAGAGAGAGAGAATGAGAGATAGAGAGCACGAGAGTGAAGAGGGTCAGAGGGAGAAGCAGACTCCCTGCTGAGCAGGGAGCCCGATGTGGGACTCGATCCCAGGACTCCAGGATCATGACCTGAGCCGAAGGCAGTCGCTTAACCAACTGAGCCACCCAGGCGCCCCTAAGTAAGATTTATTGAAAGCCATCCTCAGGGCATGGGGGCAAAGGCAGCAGAGTGGGAGTAAGACAACTTAGGTTCTGTAGAAATCCACTCTGTGGACTCCAGTGGATCCCTGGACTGACCTTCAAGCTTCCCTAATTGTAAAGAGAAATGCTTGCATTGAATTTGGGTTCCTTGCAGAGCAGAGGTGCTGAGTCTGTTTTGTGGGACATGGATCCCTGTCCACCAGGGGGAAGAGTATGCATATTTGGGACTGGCAAACAACTGGAAAAAACTGATCCAGTTGATGGGGTTTTTTTGTCCTTGCTCCCTGCCCACAAGGGAATACATCTCTCCTAACCCTCCCCCACGCCAGCTTGCCTTATTTAGCCTCAGGTTGATTTTTTTCCTTCGGTTTATGACTTTGCTGCAGCCAAAATCTGGCTGGAAGCCCTCTAGCAAATCTCAAGGACTTCCCAGTCTTCACTCACTTATTTCTTTGCTTTGAGTGGAACGCACTCATCTACGATGTGTGCCTCCTCCCCTTTGCTTATTCACAGCCTACTTGCCTTTGAAAACTCAGCTCAAATTTTGATTCTGTTCACTTCAGCTGAACTTTTTTTTTTTTTTTTTTTTTAGCTCTCATTCTCTGCTTGGCTCCGTCCTGGGCACTGGGGGTCCTGCCTTGAGTCAGTCAGTTCCAGCCCTCCGGGAGCTCACAATTGACTGTTTGGCTGGGAGTGTCCAATACACAAGCAGATCGTTTAGTCATGGTGTGGGATGTGCCGGAACAGAGGACAGCAAAGGGAGCTGTGGCGGTATAGAGCAGGGCCCCTGCCCAGCTTGGCTGGTGGTGGGTGGCAGGTGGGGGGGTGGGAAACAGGCAGGGAGGGCTCTTTGGAAGCCATGATGCTTGAGTTGAGGGTTAGGGGAGGAGTTGTTTGCGAAGTGAAGAGGCGTTAAGCGCCACAGGCAGGGCCCCCCTCCCTGCCATGTCTGCTGTGCTGCTCCCGTATCAGGGAAAATCCGCCTTTTACTACTCTGGGCTGGTACCACCATTTCTAGTCTATTAATGCTGGATCCAGCTCTTTGAAAACTGTCCAGGTGGTGATCAGGAAGGTAAGAGGATAGCCATACAAGGAACAGTCGCTGAACTGTGCATATTTAGACTGAGGGGGAAGGACTTTGAGTGAAAAGGAAATGGGGTTTTGAATAAGATTGAGCTTCCAAGTACAACCAAAGTGTAGAAGCTGCCCGAGGCCGATTTCAGCTGAACACAAGAAAGAACTTGCTACTGGCCTTTCTTTAAAAGGGTACAACTTGTCTTGGCAAACTGTCACGGGAGAGGTTAAAAGAGATATCCCCATTTGGTAATCAGATTATGGGAGTTGATGAGAGTTGGATAAGATGACCTTTAAGGTTCTTTCCAAGGGTGGGTTTTCTCATACCAACTCCCCACCCCCACCACCGCTTCAGAGACCTTCTGCTTATGCCTTTCTGTACTCTCACCTGCTGACTTAAGTCCAAGCTCCATGGCAAAGCACACAGGGCCCTCTCCACTCACACCCCTACTCAATACAGCAATTCCAAACCACTTAGAGTTCTCAGCACACTCATGCTGTGTTCTGTGCCTAAGACGTCCTCCCTCTCCTCCTTTGCCTTCCCCATAATTGCCAACTGGTCAATTAACTCTCTCCCACTGTGTTTTTTTATTTTTATTTTATTTAATTTTTAAGGGGGGAGGGGCAGAGGGAGAGGGAGAGAGAGAATCTCAAGCTCCATGAATCCCATAAACTCCATGCCTAGTGCAGAGCCCGATGCCAGGCTCCATCTCACAACCCTGAGATCATGACCTAAGCTGAAATCAGTTAAGCGACTAAGCCACCCAGGCGCCCCACTCTCCCACTGTGTCTTGATTGAAGGGTAATTGTAGTGGCCTGCCTCCTACTACCATTCAGAGGGAAGCTGGGGTGGGGGTGGGGGGTCAAATCCTTCATTAGTTTCTGGTCCGGCTAGGAGGAAGGCTTGTGACAAAAGTCTAGCCAGCTGGGCCTTCTCTCTAATGCTTTGAATCCAAAGACATAAGGAATAGATAAAGGTGATCTGGTGGAGTGGGGGTAGTGGGAACGGTGTCCTGAACAGACTTTTCCAGCAATAATATGGTTGCTGTGTCTTTTTCCTACTTTTTAGCCTTCTAGAGTGGCCTTGGTACCAACACATTTCCAAGTCAATAAATATTTATAAAATGAAATAATGAAGCACAAGAATAAATGTCAAAGGCTTGATTTAAAGCAAACTGCATGCAAGATTGGCCTATTTAATGATTAGAACCTTCAGAACTAGAGAGGAAAATAAAGATAAGAGAATGGTCACATCACTAACAGAAATGAGGAAGTGCTAGTTTATGGAGGACAGGGGGAAGGATGGGGAATAATAGATTTTTATTATTATATATATTTAACTTTTTATTATGTTAGCTAACATGGGTAGACTAAGTCAAATTAAGTCAACTGAAGGAGCGAAAGGCAAAAATAAGATGGAAAGGACTTTAATATTAATATTCTGGGACTTTTTATTTATTTTTTATTTGAGAGAGTGAGAGAGAGAGAGAGAGCATGAGCAGGGGGGAGGGGCAAAGGGAGGGGCAGAGGGAGAAGGAGGGGCAGACTCTCTGCAGAGCAGAGCCCCATGTGGGACTCAATCCCAGGACCCTGGGATCATAACCTGAGCCAAAGGCAGATACTTAACCGACTGAGCCACCCAGGCGCCCCTTCTTCTGGGACTTCTGATGAACCAATTAATACATATTTACCAAATAATAAGCTAGAATATTCATTTAGTCTCAGAGTAGATTCTAGGTATACCATGCATATATTTCAAAAACATGCTCTACTTGGATAGCAAACTTTATGAACCACACAGTAATTAAGATAATAAAAATTACACAGAAATTCATGCCTATAAAGAGGCCTGTTTATTACTGATAACACTTCATTTGGCTAAAACCACAAGAAATTCACACACAAGCACTTCAAGTGCAAATTCTCACAGGTAGTACTTATGATACACCCTGGTGTTTTCATCAGAAAAAAAAATGAGAAAATGTTGACAAAAACTGGTAAAACAAGAGCACATTTTTGATCTACTGCTACATAGTCAGAAAAATAATTCATTCTTAACTGCATATATTTTATCTGGCATATTCAGTGACATATACAAAGTTTATTTTAGCCTAAAACAAGAAGGCCTCACAATATATACAGATGCAGACTCTTGCTTGAGTGCCTCTTGTGAGATATATGATGAATCATAACAGTGGACAAAAATATATCAAATCGTATCAAGTTAGTTGTGACTCACTTGGAAGGTAGCACTAGGAGGCTCAAACTGGCACCTATACCCAGTGATATTAAGTCTACATAGATACCTTCTGAGCCTACTTGGCCAACACCTTGCTTTGAGTGTAAAATACTAGGCATTATATATAATTTTCCAAATAGGAAATATGCTCTGCTCTCTCAAAAGAAACTGAGTATTTAAGGGTGTGCATGCTTAATGAAGATGATTTATTATAAATTTCAGTAATGAGAATTGTTTAAAAAAACTGAACCAGAAAATTAACATTTTTGATTGCTTCTTAAGCTATTAGCTGCTTTAAAATGCAACCCACTATTTCCTATTATCACCAACTAAGCATTCTATAATAGGTACTATACTTGGCGGGGTAGGAGGATATGAAAAATAATAAAACATGATCTCTGCTCTCAGGGAGCTGGTAGTCAGATGCTCTATCTCAGTCAAGGAATGCCAGTGAATTAATGAAAACAAACTGGCCAACACCTCTGACAATGAGGTTCAGTGATAACGTAACTGTTTCAGGTCAGTTTAATTTGGCAGTAATACTTTTCAAAGTTCAGCTTTTAAAATGCAGGGAACAGGCTAGATACATTCTATGTTTCTATTTCTCATGTTAAGGTCGTTGTGTGTACCACCAGGCAGATGCAGCAATTGAGGAGGGGGGGGAACCACTAAGAGGCTCTATGATCAACACGGTGCTCCTTTCTGGCAGCACCGGCTTCTGTCAGGACTGAAGGAATCCTTTTTACATCGAAACAGTTTTATTATGGGGAATGCAAAATTCAGCTTACATTTTAATGACAGAATACGAAATTTCATGAGCGGTAGACTGCTTCTAAGTTTGGGTTGGGTCCCTCCCCCCACATATTCATCATGTTCCTCTGCTTTAGGGTTATGCTGGTGGAAAAATTTGAGAAGCAAACTTTAGCATGCCATGCGCCCTTATCTTGGTCACTTTACTCATTCTTAAATGTCCTCTTTTTAAGGTATATAGTCTTGAAATAACAAAGAGAAAAGATGGTTTAATGAACGTGACAGTATGGTTAATATTTTAAAGTAACCAATGGTAAAAACTAATTTGGTTTTTTCAACTAGAACTAAAGAGAGTCATGCCGTGTCAAGTCCTGCAATGAAAGGTTCTCTTCTTTCCACTTGGACTTCTTATGGCTTATGGTAAGATGTTCTGGGGGACAAATGTGAAAAAAGATTTCTTCAGATTTTGTGCTTTGGATGCCCCAAGTACAAGGAGACCTGAAATAAAATTGGCCATCCATTTTGAGTGGTAGGACTCTTTCCTCATCAATTTCTAGAGCAATCTCAGAAAAACAAGTGAATTATAGAAGGCCATAATAAATTAGCATATAGTAGTATCCAGACAGACCCAAAAGGCTATGAAATAGATTTAAAATTACTTCTTACAATGTCTTAAATATTCTCACAATAACAAAATAATCAAAAGTCAAAAAAAAATCCAAACATACTTTTATGAATCAGTTTAAAGCATTCTGAATGAATACAGTTAAGATTTCTTATCAGTGAGGTAATAGAGCAATAGCTTTTCACAGTAACCAAATGCACGAGGGCACCTAGGGAAGGAGGGAGGTAGAGAGAAAAAGTCATAAAATAAATTTATCCAAGCAAAATTTGGATTTTTCAAGCATCACAAACATCAGTGGAAAACACTGGAAAGAAATACCAGTAGCAGCAGTTCATAGAACAATTTCTCCATTAAACTCCAGCTAATATCTCTGTTGCATCCACTCCAGAGGCAACCTCCTTAAGAGACAGGAGGCCTATTTTCTATATAAGGATATTCCTAAAGTATCCAATCTCTTAGAACTTCTCTGTCTGCTGAAGTTACTACATGCAAAAAACAAAACCCTCAAATATCCTATAATGCTATACATTCTTCAAGATGAACAAAATGGTGTTCAAGTCTCACTTAATTTGCCAGGTTAAATTAAAAATCGTATCTAAGCAGGTCTCTGTGCAGTGAATAAAGACTGCACTCATGCATCTACTACTCAACATATACAAAAACTCTCTTGTGAGCTAAATTCTTCTAGATAGGGAGCGAAACCCAAATGTTACTTTCAGTGCTCCCTATGACATCATCATTGTTCCAACCTGAGTTTTAAAAAAATTTTGGAAGAAACCTTTAAAAGACATTTAGTATATCCCTTAATATTTAAATCTGTCATTTAGTTTTTTTTTGAAAAGGTCCTTATTCTCTTTTATTCTGTCCTCACTGAAGATAGAGAACAGTTTGTCATATTTCTTACTTTGAGTCCTTTAATAAAAAATTCAACTAATAACTTAAGACTTATTAAATTGTCTCAACAGCTTTCTCCCCTCCAGAGTTAAATGATCTGAATTCTTTGAACTTGTTCTCACCATCTCTGTTGTATTCCTTTTGATTCCTGCTATGTCCTCTCCTCCCCAGCTCCCACATGATCCTAAGACACAACATCCTAGCAGGAATTGAATCAGTAAGAGGGGTACTTTTTCTCACCTCCTAAAACTTGGCCTCTTTTTAGTGGTTGCTAATAAAGGAAAACAAAAGTTTCACGATCTATCTGCTCATCATTATAACAAATAAACATGGGTAAACAACTTGCTCACAGCCAGTTTATTCCCTACTTTTAGAGAGGTAAGTTCGCCCTTCACAAGAAGCATTTCCTGTGCCATCTTATTGACCTTTCTTATTGTTTCTTTATTTCTACTGTTTATTTTCAGTGTATGCTTTGATCTTGCCCACTAGTTCATTCCTTTTCCCCAAAACTCTAGAAAAGCCCAGTTTTAATCTACATACTCAATGGGAATGGATTCATTTTCATGATATTTTTCATAAAGAAAAAGCTAAACAACGTAGAGCCCAAGGCTGAGGCCTACAGTCCAGCACTCCTGTCTTTCCTGGTCGGCTTGGGTTACTAAATTTACCCTGTTAGGCAACTGCACACCACTATGTCAAGTTCATGTTAAATATCACGCTAATATAGACTTGAGAGTTTGGCTAGAATCAAATAATTCCCTTAATCTATACACATCAGGAACATTTGTAACATTTTGTTGATTTTAACTTTGGATTTTTAAATTTTTGAGATAAGAATCTAAGCTTTAATAACTTTTCACCTTGATTAAGATGATGTGTTATATTAAATGTTGTATTATATTAAAGCACTCAAAACTGTTCTCCTTACAATAGAATGACAATCATGACATGGCTTTAGTGATTATGAATGGGCTAGCATATCATTTTAGCTCTACTTTGTTCTTCGGTCACTGAAACACAGATACTAAGCGCCAAATATACACATTTTTCATATATATAGCATTGTTCATACTAGTTGGTAGAATATAGGCCATCTCCTAAATTACATTCTACATTCCTAAAAGCAAATAAAACAAAAGAGTCTGCACATTCCTTCTTCAGTGCAAAGCCTTTGAGAACAAAGTCATTCAGAAGTATAGTGCTCTACACTTAGCTAGCTGTCTATTATCTACAGTCATATGAGATCTAGCTATAGGAAAGGAAGGAACAAATTAACTATAGTGGCAATACAATAATTTGAAAATTATATTTGCACTATATGGGTTCAACCAAATGTTAGCTGATGGAGCTGCAACAAACCATACCATTATTTACTAAATAGTCTAATCAGTTTAAACGTTATATCATTATTATTATTTAGGAAATAAATACTCTAATGCCAGTTATGTCCCATTAGCAATTTGTTTAGTATGATTACACCCCAGGTCTTGTTACTGTTACCCCTTAACTATACAACATGTGTTTAAGTATCCTGTGAGTGGTATAGGACAGGAGACACTTTAAGAAAACAAAATAACATTAAATTAAATGAAATTGGTACTTCTCTACTAAGACTTTTTTAGAAGGCTGGAGAAGCAACCAAAAGTGACCTTCCAAAATTTTTTTCCACACTGAGGGGCACCTGAGTGGCTCAGTCGGTTAAGCCTCCGACTCTTGATCTCAGTACAGGTCTTGATCTCAGGGTCTTGAGTTCAAGCCCCACATTGGGCTCTACGCTGGGCATAGAGCCTACTTGAAAAAAATATGCAAACTTTTTTTCCACAGTGAAAAAGAAAGAGCACTCTTGGGATCAGAAATTCTACAGTGGCCAGCATGATAATAGAATAAACTGGACTTTAGTTTTAAAACATGTAGTTTTAGCGTTAGATAACACCTAAAATCTGGATATTTTATTTCTTAGAAAAATTAGCATTACTTCATCTGATAAAGGAATAAATCTACTTATAAAAATGTAATTCCAAAGTCAGATTTTTAAATAAATTCAGAGCTCCTTTCTCAGTTCAGATTTTTTTCTTTACCTGAAGGCTGTGTTATTGACATTAATTCTTACAAGAAGATCCTTAAGCACAGTTACATTGACTCTGATTTTATTAGGATTTTTATTTACATTCATAAGATTTTTAAATGGGGGAAATTGATCTGATATAGAGGGGAAGCACCTACATAGTTTGGTCTGAAATAACTATCTGAAAATTAACTGACTAAATTATATTCAATGCAGGAACACTGTTTTAATTCACACCATACCCTGAGAAGGCACCAAGAAATCTGACAAGAATGAAGCCACTAGGAGCACTGCCACTATTTTTTCATGTTCAGTAAACGTCAGAATTTTAAATACACACAATAAATTTACACTGCACCAAGAGCACCTGAAACCACATATGGTAACATCTGTTCTAAGCTAGAAATGCTAACACCCGATTTCAAATACTCTACTTTGTAAGTTAATACCTATGACGAAATAATGACACTTTCCCACACTATGCTGGCAGCAATGCTATTTTCTTGTCAATTTTATAGATTAATTTCCTTAACTAACTCTACAACTATATAACATTTATCTGCCTTTTTAAAAAACCGTGCTATACACAATTACAATATGGAACTAAGCTTAATCACACTTCAATAAGAAAACTCACTTATGTATTGGGTTTTTTTTTCTGTTAAAGGAAGAACAACGTGTTACTAGAATACTTTCAATGCAATGACAGTTGTTCAAGATTATGAAAAAATTTGAATCCTTTCTCTCCAGACCATTTCCTTTTGAATTTATACAGTTTGTTGCATCAGCCCACCAAAGGAAAGAAAATCAAAGTACAAAGATAGTTGGCCAGATGAGATAGAGAGAGAACGCTAACATGACTTCAGCGCATGGAGTTCCAGGTTGTTCTGTTCTATGCGCCGGTGCAAAGTCATGGCGTACTGGTGTGCACTAAACAGAACGCCAGATCAGTCCATTTTTACTGGGCTCAAGAAAATTCTCAATCAAAGCTTCAATGAGTTTCCTCAATTCCTCTTCTAGGAAGGCAGTGTCACTAAAGAGAAAGATGAAGAGTTTCGAAAGTCTTGATTTTCATCACTTTAAATTTTGTTTAAATTGTTATAATTTTAAAAGGGGATGATTAAACACTTTGTAAACCAAAAAGAAGTTCACTCAGTTAAAACAAACAGAACAAGACCAAAGAGGGGAAAAAAAATCACACACAAGAAAACACCATGATCACAAACTGAAGTTGAACTGCATTAAAGGGAGTTCCTTGGTACATGATACAGGGATGAGTTTTGGTATATCTACAGATTTTTCTCCTGGGTCAGGCAATTTAATGGTCCAGAACACCAATACCAGGTATTATGCTAAAATGGCTTCCTGAAATACTTTGAAGAACACCCAGTAGATAAGTAGATATTATGGGATGATATGGCATGACTCAGATACAGAGGGGTGATGGGACTAAAAAAATAAGATGCTTAAAAAATAAATGGACATTTACAAGGATGTGCTTCAAGGCATCACTGCTGTTGCCCAAAACATTTCTAGGAAAGCCTCTTTTCAACTGCCTTCGTGGTCATTTGTTATTACTTTAATGATCATCCTTTATTTTTAATCAAAAATAGCATTACCCAATTTGGTTTCCTTAAAACTCTACTCTGAATCATTTCAGGATGTCTTTTTTTGCCCCCAAAGGGAACAAAATCTACTCTTAAATGCAAAGATTTAGGGACATACAAAATAATGTACCTTGGACTCTGAAGGCAATTCTAAAAAATCTCTTTCCCAAAAATATATTGATCAGTGACATTGTAGAAGGTACTACTTTTAATAAGTTTAAATAGCCTTTGAATATGTTTATTAAAGTCAATTTAGTGGCAATTCATACTCTTAAAAGGAAATAAATTGGGCAGATTAAGTCAAATCACAATAGATGTAAGAAATAAAAAAATTATTTGTTGATCATTTCTTTATGTTCATCATATAATAGTTAAAGCTCACAAAACCTTCCCAATAATAAAAATTCACTAAAATTTTAAAATTCAATTCCCAAATGGTCCAGCTGCTTTGGGAAATAGTCTTGCAGTTCCTCCGAAAGTTAAACATAGAACTACCATGTGACCCAGCAATTCTCCACCTACATATAGACCTCAGTGAAATGAAAACATGTCCACACAAAAACTTGCGCACAAACGTTTGTAGCACGGTTATATGTAATATTTAAAATGTGGAAATAACCCAAATGTCCACCACCTGATAAAAGGATAAAAAAAAGTGTTATATCTATACAACAGAATAGTATTAGGCCAAGAAAACAATTTTTTAAAAAAAATAAAGTGACTCGTGCTACAACACGGATGAAACTTGAAAACATTAAAGTAGAAGATGCCAGTCACAAAGGGCCATATGTTGTATGATTCCATTTATATGAAATGTCCACAATAAGCAAGTCGATAATGAGATAGTAGATTGGTGGTTGCCTAGGGCTAAGATGGCAAGTGACTGCTAATGGGTCTGGGACTTCTTTCTGAGGGGTTGAAAATGTTCTAAAATTGATTGTAGTAAAAACAATTTTGATCGTAGTGATGTTTGCACAACTCTGAATATACTAAAAACCACTGAACTGTACGCTTTGAATGGGTAAACTGTACAGTATGTGAATTTTATCTCAATAAAGCCTATATATATATATATAAAAATATGTAAATCTAAATATATACGTGTATATATATTTAAAAAGCCAATTCTCACCTCTGCTCGGGGGATGCACACATCTCCGCATAATACTTTATCTTTGGTTCTGTGCCACTTGTCCGAAGAGTAGCAACACAGCCATTTTGAAAAGTAAATGTAATCATTTGGCTGTTTTTACTGACAGGCAGCACCTGTGCACAAGGTGAACAACAGCTTAGTTACACTCGGTACCTTTTTTCATTTTCAAGAGTTGTAAAATATATTCTACTTATGTGAGGTATCTAAAGGAGTCAAATTCATAGAAACAGGAAGTAGAAGGCCATTGGCAAGGGGTGGGGGAAGGGGGAAATGAGGAGTTGTTGTTTAATGGGTATGGAGTTTCAGTTCAGCAAGATGAAAAAGTTCTGGACATCTGCTGCACGACAAGGTAGACAGAGTTAACACTATGGACTGCATGTTCAAAAATAGTTACGGTGGTAAATTTTGTTATGTGTTTTTGACAATTAATATTTTTTAAAAATTATAAAATACAAAAGATTACATGCATAATAATTTGTAAGTATGCCATTTACTGAACATTTATAATAGTACAGGCATTGGGTTATATACCTTACACACAAGATCTCCAGGCCTCGGCAACAATCTTCCAGAGTAAATATTACTGCCAATTTACTGACATGGCTCAAAAAGAGTAAATGACCTGGTCAAGGTAATCAGCTAAAGTGGCAGAACAAGAAGTTGAAGCCAGGTCTGTCTGTATCAAAGTCCAAACTGCCTCTACATTTGCAAAGGGCTTTATAATTTCGAAGCACTTTCATAGACAGTTTATCAATCATCTCCAAAGCAGACTGCACGTGTCCTAGAGGACAGGCAAAATAATCCACTGGGATACAAAAAAATTTTATATTTTTTATCTAAAAGTTAAAAAAGGAAATGAAGCTTTACTGACGTTGAACATACGATTCATACTAGTACCCTTCCCGGACCACAGGTCAGTCTGTGAAGGTATCTTGGGGGAACTGTGGTGGTTGTACTAGGACAGAGGTGGTGCCTTTCATTAGGTGTCCAGAGCCTGGTCCTCTCCTTGAAACCCCTCCCTCAGTTAGTGGTACTACCACACACCAGCTGCTTAAGATAGAGACCTTCCCCCCCTCTTTTTCACTCACAGACCATCAACCTTAGCAAGTCCTGTCTATTCTAGTCTTTATTTAACTCAACTTTGTCCAACTCTCTCCATCACTACTGCTATTATATTTAATTCAGGCTCCCATCATGTCTCATCTTATTACTGAAATAGAGTACTAACTGACCTTCCCGCCTGGGAGTTTGCCTCTCTAACCCACTGTATGTGCCATTCCTCCTTGAACTCCACACTACAGTTGTAGAGAACTCTTTGTGGTTCTTTGGAGGAGAACATGCCTTCCTACCTCCAGACCTAGCACTTGCTGCTCTCCCTTTGCCTGAATACTCACCGTTCCTCCTACATCTGGATAACTCTTACTCATACTCAGCTCACAGAAGTCTCCTAGATTGTCTTCTGTAAGCCTCCCAGACCTGAGCACCTGTGCTCTTCCATGGCACCTTCTGCACCCCCTGGTCCTTTTATCATTTTGTAAAGTAATCCCTGCTTACTTCCATTTCCCCACTAGACACTTGAGTGCAGAAACAGCACCTTTCTCGTTGCTCCTTCTCCAGTGTGCCTATATCTGTGGCACCGAAGGGCTTTGATAAATGCCTGCTGAACACACAGAGAGCAATCTGGAGTGTGAAGAAAACACTCACGAGGTCTTTGACACTTACTATGTGACTGCTGGGGTAAATTAACAATGTCTACAGTACCTGCCTTACAAAATTGTTGTAAGCATCTGTGGAGAACAGATAGAAAAGTACTTTGAATAAGGAATATCATAAACCTTAAAGAAAGTTAATAGGAAAAAAGCATCACACCAAGAACTACTCTAAGCACAACAACATTAGTGAAATAAAAAGAAGAAAAAATTTCGTTCTTCTCTTCAAGTAGTTTACAAAGATAGAAACATAGATACCAATAACTGGGAATACTATTTGTTGATTAGATGAATAGACACAGAAGGAATATGAGCTGTACTCTATGCAAGAAATTGCAGATTTCCCAAAATATATTATGCCCCTAGCATCAGAGACAACATCAGGACATTATAAATGGAAATTCAGGCTAATAATCCTAACAATAACCAAATAGATATGATCAGCAATTTATGGCATTTAAATATTTGTTGAGCCCCTACCATGTAGGCAGGAGCCTTGACAGGCATGGAGGTGTGTTAGAAATGGATCTGCCATGCACAACACATTGATAACATAAAATAGAAAGTGATAAAGGACAAGAGTCAGGCCCAATATATAATGAAACCTCAGGAGGAAGACATCTAATTATGGGACCTGGAGGGAATATGGAGGAGGTGACATCTGTCTGAAGTCTTAAATAATGGCTAAGATGTGGACCTGCAGCAGTAGGAAGGAGAGGCAGACTGGGGAAATAGCTTGAGCAAAAATACAGAATTTATATTTTCATTTCTTTAAAGATTTTATTTATTTATCTGAGAGAGAGAGATAGCCAGAGGGAGCACGAGGCGGGGGAGGGGTGGGGGGGGAGAGGGAGAAGCAGACTCCCAGCCGAGCCGGGAGCCTTGACTTGGATCTCAATCCCAGGACCCTAAGATCATGGCCTGAGCCAAAGGCAGACTAACCGACTGAGCCACCCAGGTGCCCCAAAATACAGAAATTTTTAATAAAAATGTATGCATGTAAGAAAAATATAAGTTGCTCTATTTGGCTGCAGGTATAGGGACTAAGGTTGAAAAGGGAAGTTGCAAATCAAAAGGTGTAATGGTGAGCTTTGAAACAAAGGCTTTCGGACTTTATTTTCAACATCACACATTCTCCCTCTCTCTGTCCCTTCCTCTTTTTGTCTAATTCTCTTTCCCACCTCCCCACCCTCCAGGGAGGAGCATACACTTGGGGAGAGAGGAAGACAGGATCAGAGGCAGGGAGACTGTTAGTGGGATTATAACTGCTCTGGAGAAAAACAATGGATGCTAGTTTCAGAGACATTCACAGGCTTGAACTTCCACTATTTTACTACAGTACAAAGTACTACAAATTGTTAAAAAACTTAAAAAAAAAAAGGTACTTACTGATTTCTTATTAGGCTGGCTGCTATCATAGCCAGTGGTAACGTCCCGTATGTGTAATATAGCAAATGTCCCACAGAATTTTGGATATTCTTTTGGAGAATCAAAATTGCGAAGCCTTTCAAATATACTTTTGATGGTACTTGGATCATAACACAAGAAATACGAAGTTTTTGAAATGTGATAACCATATCTGCACAAAGATTTAAAGTGTTAAAATCAGATTTCAGATAACTCTTCAGAGAAGTATATAATAAAGATAAGCCTATTATAGTATTATGTAGAAAGTAGCAGACTTTAGTTCAGTTTTTGAACTTTTTAGAAAGGACAAGCTATTTTCAAAACCAAATTTAGAAAGCTAAAAGTAGGACCAAAAGAATGAGAAATTTGGCAATTGAAATGAGAAATTCATAATAATAGAACTTACTTTTCATAAACCTTAATCAGTTGCTGTTTCAATGTTATAGTCATGGTTTCCAGGTAAGCTGCCATCTCGGCAGCAACAACGGCTGCACTCACCCCATCTTTATCCAAAACCGAAGTGCCACACAGAAAACCTAAGAATTAAAACACATTTTTATTTTTATTTTATTTTTTAAGATTTTTATTTATTTGAGACAGAGAGAGGGCGTTGCAGGAGCAGGAAGGAGGAGCAGAGGGAGAGGGAGAAGCAGGCTCTCTGCTCAGTGGGCAGGCTCCCTGCTCCCCACTGAGCAGGGAGCCAGGATGGAGATGAGGCTTGATCCCAGGACACTGGGATTGTGACCTGAGCTGAAGGCAGACGCTTTACTGACTGAGCCACACATGATTTAAAAAGGGGAAAACTTAAGCCTATAATAATTTCAATAGTTTTACATTTCTTCAGAAGAACCAATGAATTTAAGAGCCTACTAATAGATGAAACCCACTGATACTAAAGGTACTTAGGGGACTTTAAAGGGTCTTCCCCCCCCCATGAAAAATGCATCTACATATTTCTGAGTTCTCTGTGGTTTTTACAACTCAAAACGCAAAACCAGAAGACAAAAATTCCTCTTCATAGACATACTACATTTTAAAAAATGCTCTCATCAAATTTCAAAGATTTCAATATTTACTACATACCAATCGACTCCTCAAATGCAAAAAGGACTTCTTTCCCATTTTCCAGGAGGTCTTTTATCCTACTTCCAATCCATTTAAAACCTGGTAATGTTTCCTGAAATGCACAGAAGGCCACTCTAGTTAAGTGACTCCTCAAAAACGTATCTAGAGAAAGGCCTGTCACTAAATGCAGTAACACTCTCATAGTGATCTCTTATGGTTTTTGGTCCACACAGATTTATATCATGGTGAGCACATAGCCAGAAGTGCTTGGATTCATATTGCCACGACTGATAACCTACTATTTATTGAGCACAGAAATAGGTGATTTACACCAAATATAACCCAACATTTGTAAGTGGTGATCCATATAGTCACAAAGTAACATAAATTTTACACACATATATTATGATCATCTATTTATCAAACACCATTAACAGGCACTTTATATCATTGGGTCTTTTTTGTTTACAAAAACTCTGTTGCTGAAACAGAGGCTCAGAGGCTCAGTGAATTTGCCCAAGACTATGCTGTATGTATGAGATGGAGCCAGGATTTACTTACACTGCTTCTCAGAAACTGTCATTTGGGCTGTATTATAACTACTAATATAAGAGAACCTATGAAGGTTGTGATTTAGTCCCCCCAAGTAATCAAAGGCCATAAAGCTTTTTAATGATGTACTTTCAACATTATCACAGTATATGCTTGAATCAAGTGTTCATTACCACAATACCACGGACTAATTAAAACCAAGGAAGTTACTAAGCCCTTCTTTCGTAACTGGATTCGAGGACTTTTCATCAGATGAGCTACTATTCACTTTAAAGACATGAACTGTTTTAGGTTCAACAGAAAGAACATGTAATAGACACTGATTCTAGAGCTCACCATTACTAACTTAGGATTCCCAATTCACCTCTCTACTTCCTCGGTGGGAAAAAATAAAAACCAAAACCTCTGCTACCCTCCCCAGAACCAACAACAAACACAAGGAAGCAAATTTATAATACTGGTCTTTAGAATCATGTTGTTTCTCTTTTGTGCTCTTTATACATTTTTTTTTGCCATAGATATTGAGGAAAATGTTAACATTACCATAATTCAGAATCTTAGGCTTGAATAAATTTTCAATTTTTTCTCTTTAGCAATTTGTTGTTGTTTTTTTGTTGTTTTTTTTTGTTTGTTTTTTTAAAGTAGGCTCTGCGCTGGGTGTGGAGCCCAATGCAGGGCTTGAACTCACGATAGTGAGATTGAGACCTGAGATCAAGAATTGGACAATTAATGGACTGAGCCACCCAGGCACCCTGCTATTTGTATTTTTTTTAAAGCCAGAGATTGAAAGTTCTATTTCATTAAAACAGGTATAATTTTCTTTTATTCAGCCAATCAGTGTTAAGACGTGTAGCTTGGCTGTGGCTCAAGAAAAATGCCCACAGGTGTGACATTTGCACTATTTGACAAAGATGGTGGAGGAAAAGCAATTTAATTGGCATCAGTCCCAGAAGCTATAAAAATTGTCAGCTTAACTCTCTAAGGCTCACGAAAGTTAATGATCTGCGCTGAGAGAGAGTTATTTGTTTTTTGGATGTAGAATCATTGGGTCTTAATTTACAATTTAGAAGACTAAGTTTCTTAAGACTGAACTTGAAGAGCTTAAACAATGGCTGATGATACCTACAATTTTTTGGAATGGAGTTTATGTTACTGATGAGGTCACTAGGAGCCAGATTTTCTCAGTATGAAAACCAGATTTTGTTGTATGAAATAATAAGCATTAATGTAATTTTTAAAGAATATCTTATCTCAGTTCCAGAAATTCACATCCTGGATGGATGGACTTGGCTCAAGGTGTCTAAACTGTCAAAAGATTAAGCAACTGTTAACAGAATTTTTAAAAAAAAGGGGGGATTATAAATCAAATCAATACAAGTCAGTTTTGGTGGGGAGATGGCTTTAATGTATAGATTTGGAAACTGACTGAGAAAAGTAGCACACAGATTTTTCTCTGTTCTTACCTCAAAATGAAATCCTTCTTTAAGTGCAATTGCCTTCAAAATTTTGGAAGAGACTGTGGTGGCTAACATATAAACGTTCTTCACATCAGCATTTCTTGATGTATTTTTCTTCCAGCAATCAAACATCCACCACCCAAACAAAGCTGCCAATTCATTCCCTGTGAAAACTTTCCAATGACCACTGTAGAGAGAATGAAGATTCAAGTCAGAACTTTTGTAACTTCTCATTAAAATTTCTTGACCCTAAGACGTACAAATTACCATCCCTCACACAGGAAAACCAAAAGCTATTACATAAGATTCTTGAGAAAACATTTAGGATTATTTCTAGCTCACCAGGGGTGAACTTAGGGTAGAAATGGCAATAATGTCTGTTGAAAAATTATTACACTGAAACTGTTGTTCTCCTACTTAATGAGAGAAAAGTTATAATATGATGTCCTGTCTATATAAGGACATTTGTCACAACATTATAAGGGCAAAAATATATAGCAATCCAAAGGACCAAGATTAGAAAATGATTATATTGATAAAGCAATCTGTTGGGCTATCATGCCATTTTAAAAATTATATTTTAAACAATATTTAAGGACTGAAAAAAATGCTCATGGCACAATATTAAGTGGAAAACAATCAAGATATAAAAATATATATAGCATAACAATTTTATACAAACAAATATATCTTAAGGAAATGTCAAAATATCAACCTAGGGGTTATCTTTGGATAGTGGACTTACAGGAAATTTATTTTCTTATTTTTTTATTATTTCCAATGAGGCTGTAAGACTTAAAATCAAAAACTCTTTTTCAAAGTTTAAGCTTTACTTACTTCTCCTGAAGCTCTGCCACTGCCAGCCGGTCTGCATCAGGATCAGTGGCTAGCACTACGCGGGCATTTTCTTTCTCTGCCAGTCTCAAAGAAAGTTCCTGAAACAGTGAGCCAAATCACCAGATTGTATTCCAGAGGTTAAATTCAATGTTAATACTCCTACATGTAGGTACTATATTAGTTGACATCAATTTTAGAAGGAATACAGTTTGACTAAATTTAAAATAAGCCTAGAAGTAGGGATATCCACCATAGAGATTTCAAATATAACAGAATATATGGTTACAAGAGAATTTAAATTATGTCCATGAAGGTGTTTTCTGTCTTTGTAAGTAATCTCTGAGTTGTCAATGACTTCTATTTGATGAAGTTTAATACACTAATAATAATTTAAATAAAGAAAAAAAAAATACCAGCACAGACTCTCCTTCTTCAGGATTTGGGCATTTAACGGTAGAAAAGTCTGGATCTGGATCTTTTTGTTCTGGTACTGGAATTGGAGGCTTAAAACCAAATACTTGGAAAGCCAACTGCACATAGTCGTGTCCAACCCCATGGAAAGATGTATGTACAAATTTCAAGGTGGTCTTTGAGTTTAATTCCCTGTAAAGGAAAAGAATTATTCAGTTGGTATCATAAAACTTGGTGCTTGTGATATAATTAAAATAAGCTATAAAGAAGAAGCTAAAATTTATTTTTTAGGATGAAGAACAGACACTCAGCAAGCCAACACCTCTCTAGCAATAGCATTAGCTATTTAGGGAATACTTATGAAAATACGTAAATAGGCAAAATCAAATTTTAGAGGAAATTTCCTAATCTCATATAGAGAATACACATATTTAGCTGTAATTTTTTAACAGCTTTATTAAGAAGTAATTAATATACTCTACAATTCATCTATTTAAAGTGTACAATTCAGTGGCTTTCACTATAGTCACGGAGTTATTCAACCATTAGACTATGAACAATTTTAGAACATTCTCATTATCCCCAAAAGAAACTCTACCCCAAAGCTGCCACCCCCTAACACTCCCATTCCTCCTGGCCATAGGCAATCACTAGCCTCTGTCTTGTTTCTGTCTCTGTAGATTTGCCTTCTCTGGGCATTTCATATAAATGGAATCACACAATATGTGGTCCTTTGTAAATGGTTTCTTTCACTTAGCATGTTTTCAAAGTTTATCCATGTTGTGGTATGTATCAGTATTTCTTTTTACAGCTGAATAATATTTCATTGTATAGATATAACACAGTTTATTTATCCATTCATCAGTTGATGGATATTTGGGTTATTTCCACCTTTTAACTACGGTGATTGGTACTAGTTAGCTATATTTTTAATATAATGAACAGACAACACATTTTTATCTCTATTTCTTTTATTTGTTAATCTTATTATGTGGTAACCCTATCCCTATATTCCCATTTGGATACCTGTGAAAACAGATCTTTTTAAGGTCTTCCATGTATCTTCTGCAAATGTCCTGCAGAGGATCTCTCTTCAGTGGGCTGGTATCCACTAAATTATCATTCCAGGAACCGTTCCAAGGTTCCACACATTCTTCGATACATTTCAGAATTTCTTTATCATGAGGAGATGTGATCTGAGCACCAGTTTCCCAATAAACCTAGATGATAGGTAAATACAGCTATAAGTACGTGAAATGTTGCCCAGATATTTTTAGCTACAGTAGAGCTATTTGGCTTTATAAAGAAGCATCCCAAATTAATTAAGTAGAAAATATCAACATGGGACTAACTTAATACCAAAGGATGTTGACGATAATGGATTCTGCAGGTACTCTTCAATAAAATGATCATGTACTGGGGAGAAAAGATGGCAGAGGAGTAGGGGACCCTATTCCAACTGGCCCCCGGAATTGAGCTGGATATCTACCAGACCACTCTGAGCACCCACGAAATCAGCCTGAGATGTAAGAAGATCTGGATCTCTACAAACAGAATATTGCAGGCAGTTGGTTTCGAGGTACCAAGCGGGGAGCCGTGATTCCGCAGGCAGATATCGAAGGATAAACGGCAGCTGGAGGGAGCCTGGCCGTGGGGATCCTATACTGCTGGTGCGCGACAGCCTCCCACACTGGGGACAGGCACAGACTCACAGACCAGTAGCAGCGGGGAAAGGACTTTAGGGCAACCTGGAGTGGCGGGGTCGCGCCTGCGAACTCGGAGCGGCTGGAGGTTTTAGAAGCACAAAGGGAAGAGACGTGCCCTGACCTGGAGGCAGGACTGGGGGCGCTGCAGTTTATAGTAGCACAGACAGAAACGGAGATAGTGTGGCCTGGAGAGCTCATTAAAGAACAGACTGCAATCTCTCTGCTCTGAGGCAGAGGGTTGGAAACGGTCTCTCCTGCTCTGACTCTCGGAAGAGACGGAGAAAGCCACCAGGGAAAGCTGCCAGAGAACAAAAGCCCCCAAAACTGGTTACCACTGAGCCCATCCCCCAGCACAGGGGAGGCAGGGCAACTCTGCCCAAACAGGGCTGCCTGACTAACAGCGCAGCAGGCCCCTCCCCCAGAAGACAGGCTGGGAGAACAAGAGGCCAGCAACCCTAAGGTCCCTAGAAAACAGGTGCATCTTGCTTGGGTTCTGGTCAATAATTTGGACTCTATACATTCCCTCAACCACCCATCAACAGAATGACTAGGAGGAAGAACCCCTAAAATAGGAAAGACTCAGAGATTATGACTTATGCCACAGATTTACAAATGGATGCAGATATAACCAAGATGTCGGAGATGGAATTCAGGCTAGCAATTGTGAAGACAATAGCTAGAATGGAGAAATCAATTAATGGCCACATAGAGTCTCTAAGGGCAGAAATGACAGCTGAATTGGCAGAACGTAAAAATGCTATCAAGGAGATCCAATCTAATCTAGATAATCTAACAGCTAGGGTAAATGAGGCAGAAGAACGAATTAGTGACCTGGAAGACAATTTAATAGATAAAAAGGGAAAAGAGGAGGCCAGGGAAAAACAATTCAAAATCCATGAAAATAGAATCAGAGAAAGAAGTGACACCATGAAGCATTCCAATGTCAGAATTACTGGAATCCCAGAGGGAGTGGAGAGAGAGAGAGGACTAGAAGATACATTTGAGCAAATCGTAGCTGGGAACTTCCCTAATCTGGGGAATGAAACAAACATTCGTGTCCTAGAGGCAGAGAGGACCCCTCCCAAGATCAAGGAACACAGGCCAACACCCCGGCATGTAATAGTAAAACTCGCAAATCTCAGAACCAAGGAAACCATCTTAAGGGCAGGTAGGGGGAAGAGATTCCTTACGTACAGAGGTAGGAACATCAGAATAACGTCAGACCTATCCACAGAGACCTGGCAAGCCAGAAAATCCTGGCAAGACATATTCAGGGTACTAAATGAGAAGAACATGCAGCCAAGAATACTTTATCCAGCAAGGCTGTCATTTAGAATGGATGGAGAGATGCAGAGCTTCCAAGACTGGCAGAAACTGAAAGAATATGTGACCACTAAGCCGGCCCTGCAAGAAATATTAAGGCGGATCCTATAAAAGGAGAAAGACCCCAAGAGTGATACACAACAGAAATTTACAGGGACAATCTATAAAAACAACGTCTTCACAGGCAACATGATGACAATTAATTCATATCTTTCAATAATCACTCTCAACGTGAATGGCCTAAATGCTCCTATAAAACAGCACAGGGTTGCAGATTGGATAAAAAGACAGGACCCATCCATATGCTGTCTACAAGAGCATTTTGAACCTAAAGATACATCCAGAATGAAAGTGAAGGGATGGAGATCCATCTTCCATGCCAGCGGACCTCAAAAGAAAGCTGGGGTAGCAATTCTTATATCACACAAATTAGATTTTAAACTGAAGTCTGTAGTTAGAGACACAGAAGGACACTATATCATTCTTAAAGGGTCTATCCAACAAGAAGATCTAACAATTGTAAATATCTATGCCCCCAACATGGGAGCAGCCATCTACATAAGCCAACTGTTAACCAAAATAAAGAGTCATATTGATAACAATAAGTTAATTGTGGGAGACCTCAATACTCCACTCTCAGCAATAGACACATCATCTAAGCAGAAAATCAACAAGGAAACAAGAGCTTTGAATGATACACTGGACCAGATGGACCTCAGAGATATATACAGAACATTCCACCCTAAAACAACAGAATACTCATTCTTCTTGAGCGCACATGGAACTTTCTCCAGAATAGACCATATACTGGGTCACAAACCAGGTCCCAACCGATACCAAAAGACTGAGATTATTCCCTGCATATTCTCAGACCACAATGCTTTAAAACTGGAACTCAATCACAAGAAAAAATTTGGCAGAAATTCAAACACTTGGAAGCTAAAGACCACTCTGCTCAAGAATGTTTGGGTCAACCAGGAAATCAAAGAAGAACTTAAACAATTCATGGAAATCAATGAGAACGAAAACACATCAGTCCAAAACCTAAGGGATACTGCAAAGGCGGTCCTAAGGGGGAAATACATAGCCATCCAAGCCTCACTCAAAAAAATAGAAAAGGCCCGAATTCACCAACTAACTCTACACCTTAAAGAACTAGAGAAAAAGTAACAAACGATGCCTAAGCCACACTTTAGAAGAGAAATAATTAAGATAAGAGCAGAGATCAATGAATTAGAAACCAGAAACACAGTAGATCAGATCAACGAAACTAGAAGTTGGTTCTTTGAAAGAATTAATAAGATCGATAAACCACTGGCCAGACTTATCAAAAGAAAAGAGAAAGGACCCAAATTAATAAAATTATGAATGAAAGGGGAGAGATCACGACTAACACCAAGGAAATAGAAACAATTATTAGAAATTATTATCAACAACTATATGCCAATAAACTGAGCAATCTGGATGAAATGGAGGCCTTCCTGGAAACCTATAACCTGCCAAGACTGAAACAGGAAGAAATTGACAACCTGAATAGGCCAATAACCAGTAACGAGATTGAAGCAGTGATCAAAAACCTCCCAAAAAACAGAGTCCAGGGCCTGATGGATTCCCTGGGGAATTCTACCAAACATTCAAAGAAGAAATAATACCTATTCTACTGAAGCTGTTTCAAAAAATAGAAACAGAAGGAAAACTTCCACACTCATTCTATGAGGCCAGCATTACCTTAATCCCCAAACCAGGCAAAGACCCCATCAAAAAGGAGAAGTTCAGACCAATATCCCTGATGAATATGGATTCCAAAATCCTCAACAAAATGCTGGCTAATAGGATCCAACAATACATTAAAAGGATCATCCACCACGACTAAGTGGGATTTATCCCCGGGATGCAAGGGTGGTTCAACATTCACAATACTGAATCAATCAATGTGATAGAACACATTAATAAGAGGAGAGAGAAGAACGATATGGTCCTCTCAATTGATGCAGAAAAAGCATTTGACAAAATACAGCATCCTTTCCTGATTAAAACTCTTCAGAGTATAGGGATAGAGGGAACATTCCTCAAGTTCATAAAATCCATCTATGAAAAACCCACAGCGAATATCATACTCAATGGGGAAAAGCTGAGAGCCTTTCCCTTAAGATCAGGAACACATCAAGGATGCCCATTCTCACCACTATTGTTCAACATAGTACTAGAAGTCCTAGCAACAGCAATCAGACAACAAAAAGAAATAAAAGGTATTCAAATTGGCAAAGAAGTCAAACTCTCTCTTTTCGCAGATGACATGATACCTTATGTGGAAAACACAAAAGACTCCACCCCCAAATTACTAGAACTCATACAGCAATTCAGTAATGTGGCAGGATAAAAAATCAATGCACAGAAATCGGTTGCTTTCTTATACACTAACAATGCAACTGTAGAAAGAGAAATTAGAGAAACGATTCCATTTACAATAGCACCAAAACCCATAAGATACCTTGGAATAAACCTAACCAAAGAGGTAAAGGATCTGTACTCTAGGAACTACGGAACATTCATGAAAGAAACTGAAGAAGACACAAAAAGATGGAAAAATATTCCATGCTCATGGATCGGAAGAATAAACATTGTTAAAATGTCTATGCTACCCGGAGCAATCTATACCTTCAATGCCATCCTGATCAAAATTCCAATGACATTTTTCAAAGTGCTGGAACAAACAGTCCTAAAATTTGGATGGAATCAGAAAAGACCCCGAATCGCTAAGGAAATGTTGAAAAAGAAAAAACATGGGGGCATCACATTGCCCGATTTCAAGCTATATTACAAAGCTGTGATCACCAAGACAGCATGGTACTGGCACAAAAACAGACATATAGACCAATGGAACAGAATAGAGAACCCAGATATGGACCCTCAACTCTATGGTCAAATAATCTTCGAGAAAGCAGGAGAAAACATGCGATAGAAAAAAGACAGTCTCTTCAATAAATGGTGCTGGGAAAATTGGACAGCCACATGCAGAAGAATGAAACTCGACCGTTCTCTAACACCACACACAAAGATAAACTCAAAATGGATGAAAGACCTCAATCTGAGACAGGAATTCATCAAAATCCTAGAGGAGAACATAGGCAGTAACCTCTTTGACATCGGCCACAGCAATTTCTTTCAAGATACATCTCCAAAAGCTAGTG